CTCGGAGCCAGCCCGGGCGGTGCCAGCCCCAGCCAAGGACAAAGCCGTCCCTAAAGCCGCGCCTGGCTGAGCTGGGCTCAGGCTCAGCATCCAGGGCGTGGTGGGACAGGGAAGGGTTCACGATCCAGGGGCAGGCAGCACCGACCTCAGTCCTGGCTCTTTGCTCCAATTCTTCGTTTTCTTTGCACTTTTTCGGTGTTGTGAATGGAAGAGATATGGGGAAAGGGGAATTTGAGCCTCTCCAGTACCCGGCTGAGGGGGAGGGAAAGGCAGCCCAGGGAGAGGAACGGGAGGAGCAGAAGCTGGGGGAGATGCCCCCCGTTATCCACTGGGTGTGGATGCCCCGGGAATCACCACTGGACACAGGAATGAGGCGATTCCCGGTGCTCAGCCGAGGGCAGGGAGCTGGGGAGGTGGGGATCCCAGCCCAGCCTGGGCCTCTGTCTGTCTGTCTGTCCATCCATCCCCACGGGATCCTGGATCACAACCCGAGCTGGACCTGCAGCCAGTGGTGCCCGAGGGAGGAGGGAGGTGTTGGTGTGGGGCTGCCCCACAGCCCCTGGGACCCGGGAGCTGCCAGCCAGGATGAGCTGGGATGGGGACAGAGCTGAGGCTCCCCAGGGTGGGACTGAGCCCAGACTGGCAGGAGCAGCACTGGCAGCAGAGCCCCTCCCTCGGGATTTTGGGGATCCCCAGGATCCAGGGGCAAACTCCACTCGCAGTGCTGCCGTGGGCAGGGATTGGGATGAGATCCCTCCCCAGAGCCCTGCACGGACGGACAGGCTCAGGGATTGGCTCTGGAAGGGCCCCAAATGGTGGCTGCAGTTCTGTCCTTTAAATCATCTTCAATATTCTGAGTAATTCCCCCAGGAAAACCCAGACTTGGCATCAGCAGCTGGCTCTTCCCAAGTGAGGGAGCTGGTGCTGGATTTCTCCTTCGAGACTGGAGAGCCATCGCTGTCCCTCTGTCTGTCTGTCTGTCTGCCTGTCCCGCCATCCCCATCCCACCCTCTGCTGCTGAGGAAGCCCAGCCCAAGGCAGGTTTGTAGGAACGTGGTGGGATTTGCTCTGAGCCCCTGCTGGGCTGGGCTGGGCTGGGCTGCTCCCGGCTTTGGGCAGGGGCGTGGAAAGGCTCAGCCCCGCTTCGCCCCTGGCTGTGCTGGCTCTAGGAACAGGGGGGCTCTGGGATTGTCCCAGCTGGGTGTTCCTGCCTGCACAGCACCCCGTGAGCCCTGCCCCAGGTGGGCTGAGACCCTCGGCCTCCTGCCCACCCCAGTGGGGGTCCCTGATCCAGAGCTGTGGGGCTGCAGGGAATGTCCCTGCCCCGTCCCCTGGGCAGGCTGGGGCTGCCAACACCCTCTTGTCCCCAGGAGCAGGGGGTGTCTCCTCGTGGGGCTCTGAACCCTGGGGTGATGCTGGCCCCATTCCATCTCCATCCCAGCCCCATCCCACCCTCCATCCCAGTGACATCCAGCCCCATCCCAGTCCCATCCCAGCCACATCCCAGCTCCATCCCAGTCCCATCCCAGCCCCATCCCGGCCCCATCCCGGCCCCATCCCAGCCCCATCCCAGCTCCATCCCAGTCCCATCCCAGCCCCATCCCAGCTCCATCCCAGTCCCATCCCAGCTCCCAGCCCCTTCCCAGCCCCTCCCGGCCGTTCCCAGCTGCCAGGGCCGTGTCCCCCTGTCCGTCCGTCCCCTTGGAAACGCATCCATGCCCGGAGGCCCGGGGAATGCTAAGCAGGTGCAGCCCCTCGGCCCCGTCAGGGACAGAGCGGGGCTTGTTCCCAGCGCGGAGCGCGGCCACGAGCGCTGCTGGGAGGGGACCCCGGCCCCAGCCCGGCCCGGGGGGCGGGGGACACCGGGAGGACTGGGGGCACTGGAATGGGGTCCCCTGGGAGCCCCCGGCACCACCCCAGCATCCTGCACTGGTGTGGGAGGTGGGGTAAGGGATGTCTGATGAGGGACACCCGAGGTGGGATGCAGGGTTTGGGATGTGAGATTTGGGATATGGGATGTGAGATTTGGGATATGGGATGTGAGATTTGGGATATGCGATGCAGGGTTTGGGATATGGGATGCCCAGCCCAGGATTTGGGATGCACAGGCAGGATTTGGGATGCCCAGGCAGGATTTAGGATGCCCAGCCCAGGATTTGGGATGCACAGGCAGGATTTGGGATGCACAGGCAGGATTTGGGATGCACAGGGCAGGATTTGGGATGCACAGGGCAGGATTTAGGATGCCCAGCCCAGGATGTGGGATGCCCAGCCCAGGATTTGGGATGCACAGGCAGGATTTGGGATGCACAGGCAGGATTTGGGATGCCCAGGCAGGATTTAGGATGCCCAGCCCAGGATTTGGGATGCACAGGCAGGATTTGGGATGCACAGGGCAGGATTTAGGATGCCCAGCCTAGGATGTGGGATGCCCAAGCAGGATTTGGGATGCACAGGCAGGATTTGGGATGCACAGCCCAGGATTTGGGATGCACAGGGCAGGATTTGGGATGCACAGGGCAGGATTTGGGATGCACAGCCCAGGATTTGGGATGCCCAGCCCAGGATTTGGGATGCACAGGCAGGATTTGGGATGCACAGCCCAGGATTTGGGATGCCCAGCCAGGATTTGGGATGCACAGGGCAGAATTTGGGACGCAGGATGTGGAACCCCGAGGCGGGCTGCGGGCAGTGGAGCAGCCACCACGGCCACATCCCTGCGCTGCAGGTGGAGGTGCCCAAGGACGCTCGGTGACCTTGGCAGGTCTCCATGGAGCCAGCGGTGCCGGCACGGCCCCGGAGCGGCCGCTCTCCCTGCGCCGGGCCCGGGCTGAGCCCCAGGGCCCCCGGGCTGTGCCCGCTGCTGCCCCGGCACCCCCGCCCTGCGAGGGGACCCGGGGGGTCCCGGTGGCCGCTGCCAGGCCGGGCAGCTCGGAGCCTTCTCCTCTCCCGGCTCTTCCCGGCTCCGTCCGGGTGCTGGGCCGGGGCCTGGAGCAGCCCCCTGCCCCCTGCCCATGGTGCCCGCGGTGCCCGCGGGGACACGCCACTGTGACAGAGGTGGCCGTGGTGGCAGCTGGAGCAGTCTGGCACCGGCAGGCAATGCCAGCGCCCTGGGGCGCCCAGGCTGGGGCAGAGAGGGTCCAACCCCTCACTGGGGGCTCTGCTGGGGGGGCACAGCCCCGCAGTGCCCCCGAGTGGGGTGTGGGTCCCCCAAACCGGCTGGGAATGCTGGGAGGGGGTCCCGGTGCCGGTGCCAGGGGGTCCCCGCCCCTTGCAGGGGCAGTTTGGGGGGTCAGAGAGGGATGCCGGCTCGCGGGGGTCCGGGATGGGTTCCCCCTCTGCTGGGGGTGCCAGGACGTGCCCTCTGTGCCCCCTGCCCCAGGATGCTGGTGCCGGGATGTGCCCCCCGGTGCCCCCGAGGATACCCGGGCTGGGGGAGCAAGGATGTGCTGGGGGCTGTCGGGGTGTGCCCCCCGGTGTCCCCCTCTGCCGATCCCGGGGTACCGGGCTGTGTGCCCCCGATCCCGGGGGTACCGGGATGTGTGCCCCCGATCCCGGGGGTACCGGGATGTGTGCCCCCGATCCCGGGGGTACCGGGCTGTGTGCTCCCCATCCCGGGGTACCGGGCTGTGTGCCCCCCACACCGGGGTACCGGGCTGTGTGCCCCCCACACCGGGGTACCGGGATGTGTGCCCCCGATCCCGGGGTACCGGGATGTGTGCCCCCGATCCCGGGGTCCCGGCTGTGCCTTCCCCGCTGCCGGGGGTCCCGGGATGCGCCCCCGGCTCTGCCCGCGGGGTGCCGGGGGGGTGCCGTGCCCGTGCCCGTGCGGGGGATCCCGGGGGGGCTGCGGGCTGCGGGGGGATCCCCTCGCCGGGCTGGATCCCCGGGCGGGGGCTGGGTCCGCTGCGGGGGATGCTGTTGATCCTGCTGCGGGGGGCTGGATCCCCTTTAGGGGGGGGGCACTGCAGGAGCCGGGGAGGGGCTGGGTCCCCTTGGCGGGGCCGGATCCCGAGCGTGGGGCTGGATCCCCTTGGAGCAGGGCTGGATCCCCTTGGCAGGGCTGGATCCCGGTGCCGGGACTGGATCCCAGTGCCGGGGCTGGATCCCCGTGCCGGGGCTGGATCCCCTTGGAGCAGGGCTGGATCCCCTTGGAGCGGGGCTGGATCCCCTTGGAGCGGGGCTGGATCCCGGTGCCGGGGCCGGATCCCCTCGCAGGGCGGGCGGGATCCCCTGGCGGGGCCGGGTCCCTTGCGGCAGGATCCCCGTGCGGGCAGGGGGAGCATCTGCAGGAGCCGGGGAAGGGCTGGAGCCCCGAGCAGGAGGGAGCGGATTCCCCTGCAGGGGCTGGATCCTCCCGGGATTATGGGGGGCACTCGCAGGGGCCGGAGCGGGGTGGATCCCCCTGGAAGGGGCCGGATTCCATTGCAGGGGGAGCTGGACGCCCCTGGGAAGGGCTGGATCCCCTTGCAGGGGCGGGATCTGGGTCTGTGTGGGGCGCGCTCGCAGGAACCGGGGGAGGGCTGGATCCGCTTGCAGGGGCTGGATCCCGGCTGGGCAGGGCTGGATCGTGCCGTGTGTCCGGATGCAGCCGCAGGAGCACAGGGGGCTGATCCCCTCGCAAGGGAAGGGAAGGGGCCGGGTTCCATTGCAGAGGGGCCGATCCCGCCGCAGGGGCTGCTCCCGTTGTGTGCAGCGGCGGCAGCCGCAGCAGCCGAGGGGCTGCAGCCCTTCACAGGGGGCTGGAGCCCTTCACAGGGGGCTGGATCCCTTCACAGGGGGCTGGAGCCCTTCACAGGGGGCTGGATCCCTTCAAAGGGGGCTGGATCCCACCACAGGGGGCTGGAGCCCATCACAGGGGGCTGGAGCCCTTGACAGGGGGCTGGAGCCCATCACAGGGGGCTGGAGCCCTTGACAGGGGGCTGGAGCCCTTGACAGGGGGCTGGATCCCTTCAAAGGGGGCTGGATCCCACCACAGGGGGCTGGATCCCACCACAGGGGGCTGGAGCCCTTCACAGGGGGCTGGAGCCCATCACAGGGGGCTGGATCCCACCACAGGGGGCTGGATCCCCCAGCAGAGCTGGGGAGGGGAGCAGGGCTGGATCCCCCAGCAGAGCTGGACCCGTTGTGTGTATGGAGTGCACTCACAGGAACCCCAGGAGGGCTGGATCTGCCTGGGGGGGCTGGATCCCCTTATGGGGGGTTGATTTCTTCTGGGGAGGGCTGGCTCCCCTTGCAGCGGGGCTGGATCCATTTGGGGGAGAACTGGATGCCTCTGCAGGGGGATGGATCCCCTCGAAGGGCACCTGAGGGGGCAGGCCCGGGGAAGGCTTGGGCTGGGGGGGCTGTGCTGAGAGGGTCATGGAGTTGGCCTGTGGAGCTGGGGGAATCTCTGGGGTTCACCCCATCAGTTCCGGGAGAGGCTCAAGGATTCGGGGTGCAGCCCCCCAGCTCCTTGTCGTGCATCCAGGTGGGTGCAAGGTGGAGCAGGTGGGGACCTGTTGGACCCCCCAGGCTCCTCCCAGGGCTGCGGGGGCACCTCTGACACCTCTTTCTCTCCTTGCCCCCTCCCAGCATCCGCGTGGCCCCCCCAAAACTCCAGCGCTGGCGAGGGGAGAGCCTGGGAGGGCTCTTTGGAGAGCAGCCCCCCGAAATGGGACCTGGCGAGTGGAGACCCCCCGGGGGCACCCAGCAACAGCACGAGCGCCGGGGGGGCGGCGGCAGGACCCCAGCTAGAGCCCCCCGGGGGGGGCACGGCCACCACGGAGCCTTCGGCCGTGCCCGAGGGGTGCCCGGGGTGCGGCGGGGAGGGCGAGGCCAGCGCCGTGCCCCCCCGAGCCGTCACCTGGCCCGGGGCCGGGGGCACGGTGCCGGGGGCGCTCGGCAGCCCCGAGGAGCCGGGCAGCGGTGACCGACCCACGCCCGGCCCGGGGGGCTTCGGGGGGCTCCCGGCCGCCCCGCCCAGCCCCCCCGGGCCCCGGCTCGCCACCGACTCTGCCGAATCCCAGCCGCGGACCCCCGTGCTGGGCGAGCCCGGCGCCGGGGGGGACTCGGGGGGTGCCCCGGAGCTCTGGGCCGCCCCGTCCAGCCCGGCCCCGGCGCAGGGCGCCCGCGGCTGGACCGACCTGACGTGGCTGCAGGAGCCCGGCGCCGCCGCCACGGGCCCGCCCCAGCCCCCCGCCGAGCGCGGGGGCTCGGAAATCATCGACGTCGACTACTACGACCTGTTCGAGGGGGGCCAGGGACTGGGGGGTGCCCCCGGGGCCGGCCGGCGCCGGGAGCCCGAGGGGGCGGCCACGCCCTGGGCCCTGCACGAGCTCTACGACGACTTCACGCCCTTCGACGACGCCGATTTCTACCCCACCACCTCCTTCTACGCCGACGGGGACGACGAGGACGAGCTGGAGGACGAGGAGGAAGAGGAGGAGGAGGACGGCGGGCTGCGCGGGCAGCCCCACGGCCTGGCCGCGGCCCGGCGAGCGGGGCCCGCCCGACAACGGCTCCGAGTGCCGGAGCGGCTACGTGCGGCACAACAGCTCCTGCCGCTCGCTCTGCGAGCTCGTCCCCAGCTACTGCCACAACGGCGGCCAGTGCTACCTGGTGGAGAGCCACGGGGCCTTCTGCCGGTAAGGGACGGGGCCCCGAGGGTGGGGTGTGGGGGTCGCCATCCTGGGGTTCACCAACCTCTGTACTCCATCCCCTGCACCCCATCCTGGGCTCACCATCCCCTGCACCCCATTCTGGGGCTCACCATCCCCTGCACTCCATCCCCTGCACCCCATCCCTGGGCTCACCATCCCCTGGGGCTCACCATCCTCTGTACTCCATCCCCTGCACCCCATCCTGGTACTCACTGTCCCCTGCATCTCATTTCAGAGTTGTCCATCCCCTGCACTCCATCCCTGGGCTCGCCATCCCCTGCACCCCATTTCAGAGTTCTCCATCTCCTGCACCCCATCCCCAGGCTCTCCATCCCCCATACCCCATGCCCAGTGTTCCTACCCCTGCACCCCATCCCCAGGGTCTCCAGTCCCGTGTATCCCATTCCCAGTCCTTCCAGCCCTTGTGCACCCCCATCCCCACTCCCAGTCTCTCCCTACTCCATGCATCCCATCCCTGGGCTCCTCATCCCCCTGTACCCATCCCTGGGCCCCTCATCCCCCTGTACCCATCCCTGGGCTCCTCAGCCCCCTGTACCCATCCCTGGGCTCTCCACCACCCATGCACGCTCTTCCCAGTGCTGCCATCTCCCTGCAGCCCATTCCTGGCATCTCCACCCCTTTCAGCCCATTCCTGGTCTGTCTCACCCCAAACACTTCATTCCTGGGCTCTCCATTCCCTCTGCCCCATCCCTGGGCTCTCCATCCTCCCAGCCTGGCGTTCTCAGTGTTTCCATCCATTGTTACCCCACTCCCCATCTCTCCATGCACCCCATCCTTGGAGTCTCCCTCCCCACACACTCCAGTCCCAGGCTCTCCATCCTCCATGAGCTTCATCCCTGGGCCCTCTGTTCTCTGTGCTCCATCCGTGGGCTCTCCATCCTCCATGAGCCTCATCCCAAGGCTTTCCATTCTCTGTGCTCCATCCCTGGGCTCTCCATCCTCCCTGCTCCATCCCTGGGCTCTCCATGCCCCTGACACCCCGTTCCCAGTTTTTCCATCCTTTTTCATTCCATTCGGACCTTCCCAGCCCCTGGGCCCCCCGTTCCCCGTGCCCGCAGCCCCCTCCCCCGGGACGCAGGGGGGTTTCCCTGCCCCCGGGCGGCGGCTGCCCAGGAATTAGGTCAGGCCCGGGGCTGCGGGGCGGCCGCGCTAATCGGCCCCGGCAGATTGCTCCGGGAGGCCGCGCCGGCTGTGCCGCACGCTCCGGGATGTGCCCAGCGCCTGGCACCGAGCCCACCGGCCCGGGGGCCGCGGGGACCCCTCCCCGCTCCCGGCACCGTCTGCGAGACCCCGGCGTGCCCCAGTGTCCCCATCTCACTCAGTGTCACCCCCCTCGGGTGTCACCCCTCGTCCCATCCCCCTCGGACACCCGTAACCCCCGCAGGTGCACACACCGCATCCCCCGGGGATGCTCCGGGCGCGTTTTGGGGCGGGGGGGAGGCGTTTTGGGGCGGGGGGTGCCTCTGACCGCGTCCCCCGGCAGGTGCAACACGCAGGACTACACGTGGCACAAGGGCACACGCTGCGAGTCCATCGTCACCGACTTCCAGGTGATGTGCGTGGCCGTGGGCTCGGCCGCGCTCGTGGTGCTGCTGCTCTTCATGCTCACCGTGTTCTTCGCCAAGAAGCTCTACCTGCTCAAGACGGAGAACAGCAAACTGCGCAAGACCAAGTGAGTGCCAGCACCCCCGGCCCTGCTGCTGCCAGCCCTGCTGCTGGCCTGCCCGGGACCCCCGGTGCCGCCGGGGACGCGGGGACGGTGGGTGGCAAGGCTGCCGGTGGCGGTGGCTCCTGCTCCGTGCTTAATCCCTTAAAGCTGCTCCTGACTGGTTAATCTGCTTCGCTGGGAGCTGGGACACCGGCTGGGCGGCCATCGGGGACGCTCCGGCCGGGGACGGGGCCGGGGGGTGACAAGGAAGGGTTTGGGGTCACCCCCCCCGCCCCAGCCGCTGCTGGCCGGCTCCCGGAGCGGGGAGGATGGAGCCTTCCCAGCCCGGTCCCTAATGAGCTGTTAATTAGTGTTTGGAAATGCCAAGTGTAATTAGCAGGGAGGCTCCGTGCCAGCTCCCGGGTCTCCCTCTCCAGCCCTGCCCCGGGCTGCCCTTCCCGCTCTCCGGCCCAGAGCCCAGCTACCCCAAAAGCCCAGAGCTGGGGGCACCGAGCCCCCCAAAATGTCACGCTGGGCTCCTTTAGCCCCAGCTCCGTCCCTGGGGACATTTAGTCCCCAAACCTTCGGAGTTCAGGACATTGGAGCCCGCAGACCTCCATCTCTGGGCATACTAAGTCCCCAGGGCCCCAGACGTGGAGGCATTTAGCTCCCCAAATCCTCAGAGCCGGGGTACAGAACCCCAAAGCCCCAGATTAGGGAGGATGTGTCCCCCCAAAGCCCTGAGATCTGGGGTATTCAGCCCAGACTTCCATCCCTGGTGACACCCCTGCAGACCTCCAGTGCTGGGAGCAGTTCCCCCCCAGAACCAGGGTCCCCCCAAAACGCTGTGTGGGGTGCTGCTCTGAGCCCTGCTCTCCTGACCCCGCAGATACCGCACCCCGTCCGAGCTGCACAACGACAACTTCTCCCTGTCCACCATCGCCGAGGGCTCCCACCCCAACGTAAGGAGCTGTGTGTCCCCCTGTCCCTGTGTATCCCATCCTTGTCCCTCCGTCTGGTGACCTCTGAACCCTCCGTGATCCCCGCGCTGCCCTCCTGTCCCCATCCTGCCCTGCTCACAGCTCTGCTGCCCTCCTGTCCCCATCCTGCCCTGCTCACAGCTCTGTCCCCTCGCTGCCGGCTCCCCCCTGACCTAAACTGGACCTAGGCCAGGTAGGGGGGCAGTGTCACCCCCTGTCCCTTCTCCGGCCCCTCCTGCCCATCCCGAGCTCCCCATGGCTTTGGCTCCATGTGGGGGTGGCAGGGTGGCAGTGCCCGATGCCCAGGGAGGGCACAGCCGGGACAGGCGATGCTCCGTGTGGGGGTGGCAGTGCCCGGTGCCCAGGGAGGGCACAGCCGGGGCAGACGATGCTCCGTGTGGGGGTGGCAGGGTGGCAGTGCCCGATGCCCAGGGAGGGCACAGCCGGGACAGGCGATGCTCCCTGGCTGCGGCGTGGCCGGGCAGGAGCCGCGGATGGCTGCGGCTGCTGGAGGATGAGACGCTGCGGGCTGCTGCCGTGCATGGGCACCCCCGGCATCCCCAGGATCCCCTCCAACGCGCTGTCTTTCGACTCGGACAGAGAGAAGCCAAGGGCTTTGCGGAGCCGGAGGAGGAGCGTAGGTCCCTTTAGGCTGCCCCTACCCACGGCCGCTGTTCCCCGTCTTCCGAGCGCCTTTAGCAGCCGTAGCGCCGGCGCGGCCCGGCCGCCCTGGCAGGAGGCTCCGGGGCCGGCTCGCCCCCGCTGCCGACAGGATGAACCCCGGGATGGGCTCGGGGCCGCTCCCCGGCGTGTCGCCGGGCGCTGACACATCCCCCGTCCCCTCCGGAGCTGGAGGGCTCGGCACACGGTGCCCCCCAGCCGCTGCTGGCCGGCTCCCGGAGCGGGGAGGATGGAGCCTTCCCAGCCCGGTCCCTAATGAGCTGTTAATTAGTGTTTGGAAATGCCAAGTGTAATTAGCAGGGAGGCTCCGTGCCAGCTCCCGGGTCTCCCTCTCCAGCCCTGCCCCGGGCTGCCCTTCCTGCTCTCCGGCCCAGAGCCCAGCTACCCCAAAAGCCCAGAGCTGGGGGCACCGAGCCCCCCAAAATGTCACGCTGGGCTCCTTTAGCCCCAGCTCCGTCCCTGGGGACATTTAGTCCCCAAACCTTTGGAGTTCAGGACATTGGAGCCCGCAGACCTCCATCTCTGGGCATACTAAGTCCCCAGGGCCCCAGACGTGGAGGCATTTAGCTCCCCAAATCCTCAGAGCCGGGGTACAGAACCCCAAAGCCCCAGATTAGGGAGGATGTGTCCCCCCAAAGCCCTGAGATCTGGGGTATTCAGCCCAGACTTCCATCCCTGGTGACACCCCTGCAGACCTCCAGTGCTGGGAGCAGTTCCCCCCCAGAACCAGGGTCCCCCCAAAACGCTGTGTGGGGTGCTGCTCTGAGCCCTGCTCTCCTGACCCCGCAGATACCGCACCCCGTCCGAGCTGCACAACGACAACTTCTCCCTGTCCACCATCGCCGAGGGCTCCCACCCCAACGTAAGGAGCTGTGTGTCCCCCTGTCCCTGTGTATCCCATCCTTGTCCCTCCGTCTGGTGACCTCTGAACCCTCCGTGATCCCCGCGCTGCCCTCCTGTCCCCATCCTGCCCTGCTCACAGCTCTGCTGCCCTCCTGTCCCCATCCTGCCCTGGTCACAGCTCTGTCCCCTCGCTGCCGGCTCCCCCCTGACCTAAACTGGACCTAGGCCAGGTAGGGGGGCAGTGTCACCCCCTGTCCCTTCTCCGGCCCCTCCTGCCCATCCCGAGCTCCCCATGGCTTTGGCTCCATGTGGGGGTGGCAGGGTGGCAGTGCCCGATGCCCAGGGAGGGCACAGCCGGGACAGGCGATGCTCCCTGGCTGCGGCGTGGCCGGGCAGGAGCCGCGGATGGCTGCGGCTGCTGGAGGATGAGACGCTGCGGGCTGCTGCCGTGCATGGGCACCCCCGGCATCCCCAGGATCCCCTCCAACGCGCTGTCTTTCGACTCGGACAGAGAGAAGCCAAGGGCTTTGCGGAGCCGGAGGAGGAGCGTAGGTCCCTTTAGGCTGCCCCTACCCACGGCCGCTGTTCCCCGTCTTCCGAGCGCCTTTAGCAGCCGTAGCGCCGGCGCGGCCCGGCCGCCCTGGCAGGAGGCTCCGGGGCCGGCTCGCCCCCGCTGCCGACAGGATGAACCCCGGGATGGGCTCGGGGCCGCTCCCCGGCGTGTCGCCGGGCGCTGACACATCCCCCGTCCCCTCCGGAGCTGGAGGGCTCGGCACGCGGTGCCCGGGACGCAGCAGCACTCTGAGGATGAGGAGGGGTCAGCCCCCCGGGAAGGGGTTTGTGGGGATCTGCAGCCGACGGCGCCAGCTCCGGACTGGCCGGGAACCACTGCCCGGGAGAGGAGAGCCCTGTCTCCGTGTGACGCCGGCCCTTGGCTGTCCCCGTCCGTCTGCCGCTCTCCGCGTGGCACCGGGGGCACCGGGCCCGGGCTCCTGCTGCCCAGCAGCGGGACCGTGCGGGCACAGCCGGAGCCCGGTGCCCGGTGCCCGGTGCCGCTGCTCGGGCCGCGGGAGGATGCTGCAGCGGGGGCAGCTCGGGAAGAGGCGTGCCCGGCTGTGCCAGCGGCGGGGGCAGCGGCTGTACGCTGAGGAACCGCAATAAAGCCAGCCCCTCTGGGCTCCTGCCAAGCGCCGCCGGGACTGCCTGCTTGTCGCCGGGCTGGGAACGGGAGTCGGGCGGGACCGTGGGCGGTGGCCGGGGATGCTCCGCGGCTGGCGCGGGCCCCGAGGCTGGCACAGCTCCCGAGCTGGGGAGGCTGTGCTGGCACCGCGGGAGGGTCGCACCCTGTCCCTCCGCTGCGAGGTCACCCCGTCTGAGCTGGGAGGGGACATTTGTCCCCCCAGTGGTCAGTGGGACGTGGGTGCCCCCAGTGGGTCCCGCCCCATCCCGGCCCTGCCCTGACCCCCGTGTCTCCCGCAGGACGACCCCAGCGCCCCGCACAAGCTGCAGGACTCGCTGAAGTCCTGCCTGAAGGACGAGGAGCCCTTCAACATCCACAACTCGACGTCGCCCAAGCACGAAGGCGGCAAGGGGGAGCAGGACGCGGGGGAGCTCAACTGCCTGCAGAACAAGCTGGCGTGAGCGGCGGCGCCGGGGCCGGGCTCCCCCCGCCGCAGCCGCGCCCCCGCCCCGCGCCCCTCCCGCTCCCTGGCATGCTTTGGTGTGTTTTGTACTGAGGAAAACAAAAATCCCGGTGATCATTCGGCCGTGTCGTGGGGGTGTTTGGTTCGTGCTCCGTGTTTCTCGCTTGGGTTTGTTCCGCGCTGTGGTTTCTAAACCTTTGCCGTCCCGCAACTGACTTTTTTTGTACTTTTTGCCCCACTTTTTTTGAAATACAGGGAAAAACAACAAAAAAGGAGGAAAAAAAAAAAAAGAAAAATTTTAAAAAAAAAAAAAGGTTTTTTTTTTTTAAAATTTTTTTTTTTTTTTTTCCCCCTTTTTTTTTTTTTTAAAGTTAAGCCTCTTGCCAGTGCCTACGATCTCCCAGCGTGGCCATTCATGACAGGGACACAGCCCCTGCTTCCACAGGGTCCCATGTGAGCGTCACCCGGGGGTGGTGGGTGCCTATACCCCCTTGTCACCCTCTCCTGCCTCTGCCAGGCCAGGGGTGCAGCACATCCTGCCACCCTGGACACACCTGGGAGCCGTTAGGACACCCCGGGATGTCTGCTGGAGGTGCCTGGGCTGCTCCAGGGTTTGCTCCTTCCCTGTCCCCACAAGGTCCCCCTGCACACAGGGTGACGGCTCCCAGCCACTCCTGCTCCAACAGCTCCTTCAGTGGAGCTGCCCAGGGTGGGATTTGGGGTGAAACGCCCCAGTTATCACCCCCAGCTCCCAGTTTCCATCTGTGTGCAGGAGAACCGGTGCCACTGTGCCAGTGGCTTTGGCAAGGTCAGGCTGGCCCTGTCGCTGTCCCCTGGCATCCAGCGTGGCACAGGGCTCTCCCCAGCACTCCCACCACCCTCCCCTCGTGGCTCTGGCTGCTTCCAGCAGGAACCGATTTCTTCTGGAGACGGATTCACCCACGTGCCAACTCCGGGTTCCCTGGAGAGAGGACACGAAGACATTGATCACCACAGAGTTAAGGGTTCATCACCACATGGTGTTATGGGTTCATCACCGCATGGCATTAAGGGTTCCATCACCACATGGGGTTAAGGGTTTTATCACCACACTAAGGTTTCCATCACCTCATGGCATTAAAGGTTCATCACCACACAGAATTAAGGGTTCCATCACCACATGGGTTAAGGGTTCCATCATCAGACAGTGTTAAGGGTTCATCACCACAGCGTTAAGGGTGCAGCACCTCGGGGTGCAGCCGGCTCTCTCCCGGGGCAGGGGCAGCCAAAGCCGCAGCTCTGCACAGATCGGATGTTCCCGAGGCATCCTGGGAGCTGCCGAATCATTAATTAATAATTAATTCTCGGCTCACTCGGGAGATTAGGAACGGAGGGGCGGTGGTGGGAGCCAGCAGCCGATCCCGGCGGGGACAGTGAGCAGCTCACCAGTGTGGAATCCTCAGATCTCCCCCTGGCTGCAGCATTTCCATCGCCCTGCCACGCTGCAGCCACCCTGCACGGCGGGTTTGGGCTTTGCCATCCCTCCCAGCACGGAGCTCCAGGACAGGTCAAGCCGTGCATAAAGCACTGGGGACGTGGACACGGCAGTGAAGAGGGTGGGATGGGGAGAGGGGTGTGCAGGGGGAGCAGAGAGGGGATGCTGATGTCTGAGCAAACCCCGAGGATGGTGGGATGTCCTGGCACGGGCAGAGCCTGGGTGTAAGCTTCCCGTGGGATGGGCATCGCTGAGACAGGACGGGCACAGATGGGCATCTGTGCTCGGAATGAGGAGAGGAAATGGCTGCGTGAGGACTGGGATGTTAGAGGGGACTGGGAATCCCGGAGGGGTGAGGCAGGGCAGAGCACGCAAGGGGCACGGCAGGATGGGGAGGGCCACCCCCAAGGGGGGATGCAGGGACACATGGAGGGGGGTGGGCAGCCCAGGAGAGAGCCCAGCCAGGCCTGGTGGGATCTGGAATCCGTCTGCTCCTCACTGGGATCCTCCCTCACGGCGCCTGTGGGTCTGTCCAGCCAGACACTGCCTGGGGACACACTGGCCAGGGTGTCACCAAGTGTCACCGTGTGGAGGTGAGGCTGGCACAGCACACTGGGGCCAGCGCCACCGTGGAGGTGAGGGTGACACAGCACAGCCCCTCCACCCCAGCACAGCACACCCAGCGTGGATGGTGGCACTGTGCAGGTGAGGCTGGCACAGCACACCCACCGTGGATGGTGGCACTGTGCAGGTGAGGCTGGCACAGCACACCCAGCGTGGATGGTGGCACTGTGCAGGTGGCACTGGCACAGCACACCCAGCGTGGATGGTGGCACTGTGCAGGTGGCACTGGCACAGCACACCCAGCGTGGATGGTGGCACTGTGCAGGTGACAGTGGCACAGCACTTTGTGCACAGTGGTGACACGGCACAGACCCTCAAGCCTGGCACAGCCCATCCATCCTGGACCCGCCTCGCAGAGGTGCCCACCTTGGAGCAGTGCCCACATTCCCTCTCCACCTGAGTTTGTCCCCCCCAGGAGCCCAGCGTGGCCGGGGTCAGTGGTGGGACAGTGCCCTCCACGGAGCCAGGCAGTGGCTCCTCAGCTCCCTGTCGTGAGGGATGACCCAGAGGAGCCTGGGTCCGGGAGCCACCCTTGGCAGCCGTGCTCGCCCCCAGGGGCTGTGGGGGTTCACTGGATCAGGACCAAGGTGGGTCACAAGGATTGCAGCAGGTTAAGGATGCTCCTGCTCATGCCCAGCCTGGGAGCACTGCGGTTTTGTCCCCCTGTCCCCCAGCCCTGGGGCATTGCTCTGACCCCATCACTCCCCGGGCTGTTCCCAGTCCCCCAGAGCCCACTCACCTGCCTCAGTGTCCCTGCTGTGCCTCCCTGTGCCCAGCCCGTGGCTCTCTCCCGTTCCTGTGGCCCAGGAGGGAGCAGCAGGCAGGGAGGGATGGCCGGGTTATCCCAGGGCTCCCGTGGGTCAGACACGGGACAGGGAGAGGAGCAGGCACCGTGCTTGGGGCTGCTTTCTCCGGCCCTGCAGAGGAATTTGCCTCCAGCAGCAAAGCAACACGCGGGCTTTAATCACAGGCCTGACCATGGGACGCAGGGAGGCCAGAGCTATTAAATTTCAATGCTTGGCTGATTTGCTGGGAGGGGAGATGGGCCCATTGTGGGCAGCAAGGGCTGGCACGGGCTGCGGGAAGGGAGCTGGCATCGGCAGTGGCCTGTCCTCCCCTCTGCCGTCCTCTTTTCTCTCCCAGACACATAACAGGAGCAGAGCCACGACCCCGAGACAAGGAGCCTTTCTTCCCTTGACAGGCTCCGGCTGCCTGCGACAAAATATCCGGAGTGGGATTCATTGGGGGAGTCCTGATCCACCACACTAGCCCCAGTTCCCAGCCCAGGGTCCCCATTCACCCACCAAGAGCCCACGTTCATGGTCTGAGCCCACATTCATCATCCCAGAGCCCACATTCATGGTCTGAGTCCAGATTCACCCACCAAGAGCCCACATTCATGGTCTGAGCCCACACTCATGGTCTGAGCCCACGTTCATGGTCTGAGCCCAGACTCACCAGCTGAGTCCCCATCACTGGCTGAGCCCTCAGTGGCCACAAGTCCCAGCTCACCCACCCAACCTGTGCCCCAGCCCAGTGTCCCCATCACCGTGCTGCTCAGAGCATGAAGGGCTGCAGAGGGAGCTGGCAGCAGCTCGGTGGTCCCCGCCAGCCCCACACACCCCAAACTCTGCCTGATGCCTTCATTGCTCCCCTGGGATCACAGGCTGGTCTGCCCCTCCCCGGTGCCAGGAGCTGGCAGTGCCATGTCTGTCCCTCGTCCCCTTCTAGACACCTCTGAGGACATTTCCCTGCCTGAGGCTGCCCCCACACCCTTTTCTGTGGTGAGTTTTTGGAAGATGGGGCAGGCTGTGTCCCTTCCCTTGCCTGGTGCCTCTGTGCCCCATCCTCCACCCCGGCACAGCCTGGCTCTGCTCACGGTGGCTCCAGTCCCACTCAGCCACAGTGGTGGCACGTCCCTGCTGTCCCAGCTCCCAGGGGAAGCAGGGTCAGCCTTGAGGAGCTGTTCCCAAACCCTCCTGACCATCTCTGGGAGCAGCTCTGCTGGGCCCAGCACAGGAGCGTTGTGGGGAACCCGGGATGCTTCCCAGTGAGCCAGAGGTCTGGGAGGGGACGGGTCCTGGGAGAAGCTCTGGTGACATCCCAGTGCTCCCAGCAGTGCTGGGCTGCCTCCTGGCTGGCAGGGGCTGGAACTGGCGTTTGTGCAGCCAAAAGCACCAGATCCCAGTGTCTGCTGCTGGGAAGCACCAATCCCTCATTACCCACAGCCTGGCTGTGACAGGGAGCCACTCCAGCACTAAAGCCACTCCGTGCTGGCTTTAAAGAGAGGAGAGAAGCAAAATCCTCTTAACTTCGTGAGCTGGGAAATGCCCAGTGTGGGAACGAGGGGCTGGGCAGCGCCCGCTGACGGCAGCGAGGGCTGGGCTGGCTCTGGGCACACGGCTGCTCTGTGTCACTGGTGCCACTGGTGCCACTGGGAGGGGGGCAGAGCGGGCACGGCCAGCCACCAGCGCCACAGGCTGCCTGGGAACACAGAGGCAGCAGGAAAAGGGGCCAAGGCTGAGCGAGGTGCAGCCAAGCTCACACCCCTCACGGAGAAAAGGGAAAAGCAAAGACAAGGGAGGCCGAGACGTTTGCAGGAGTGGGAAGCAGGATCTGGGGGAGGCAGGTTTGGAAGTGAAAGGAGTGAAGGAAGCTGGCGGGGCTTCAAAGGAACGCTGCGAGCAGCACACACAGGAGCCACCCCAACAGGAAACGGAGCAGGAACCAGCCTGGCTGCACCACAAGCTCCTCGCTGACCTCAGGCTCCAGAAAAAAGGTTTATGGCAAGTGGGAACTAGGTCAAATTACTAAGGACAGTTACAAGGGGAGCGTAAGCATGTGGGAAGACATCAGAAAGGCCAAATTGAGATGGAAATAGGGAGGAATCATTAAGGAGAAGAAGAAAAGGCTCCATCAGCAGGAGGAGAATGAGCAAGGGAGTGTTGGTCTGGACCCAGGCAAGGAGGAAGGCGGCTGGCAAAGGAGGCTGGGGACTCAATGGGATCACTGGCTTGTTTTAAAACCTCTTAAACCCCCAGCCTTTAGAGGTGCCAACTGCCAGCAGATGCCCACCACAACAAGGAGGTGCTGTGCTGCCACCGAGAGAGCGGCCACTGCAAAAATGGGAATATTGAGCAGCACACCCAGACTGCTTCTGACTCTCAGAGCCTCATCCTGGGGTGCTTAGAAAACC